AGATAAAACATCTTCACAGCATGGATCCTGCCAACCCAAGAGATGGCAATCAACCGCCATTAATCCAATAACCGAGAAAGTTTGCAAAAAAGGGTGGATAATTTCCCCCCTATACAAGGAAGAATCATCCGCTACCAAGTGTATCCCCAAATACAGCAACCTAGAGGGCCACGAAAAGCGTGGATCTTGAGGATCCAAAAAAAGCATCAGGATCCTCCAAAAAAAACATTCAAGGCCTTAGATTTCTCCTGATTAACATGTAGGCCCGAAGAAACAAATTAGGCAAAGATATGTAAGGGTTAGAAAGGAGCAACAAGATGTCGTCTGCAAACAGCATTATTTTGGGGGGGTGCCAGCAATCTCCACACCACGTATATCGGGGTGAGAATGAATGACAATTGCCAGAGGCTCTAACGCCAAAACCAAAAGTATGGGAGAGAGCAGGCACCCCAGCCTAGTTCCCCGAAGAATCATCTAATGATTTCCAGTGGATCCATTCACACCTTGCATTTACATGCTAAACTGACTGCTAGATGCAGTCAGTTTAGCTGCGTTTAGGAAAAATGTAAGTCAGGTGCTTCCAGGAAACATTTTTAGCTTCTAAGTGTGTGTAAAAGCAAGACGTGTCTATTTGCTGAAATCTCATTGGCTACCTCAATGGACTGTTTCAAGCATATGCATGTAAACGTACATGTTCAGCATCTAGAAGCATAAAAAAAGCATCTAGCCTAATAGTTTTTGCAGACAGATCTTTGCATAAAAACGCATGTGGGCAGTGTGAATGGGCCTTAGTGACTCCAAAAAACTTTTTAAATCTGAGAAAGCCACTCAACAAGAATTCTTTGGAGAAGATTAGCAAAGACAGCTCCCACATTTCTCTCAGTACAGGTTTTCTGTAACTGCAGTTGTGTTCTGTTCAGGGGCATCCCCAGACGTGGTGTCACCCGGAGCGGCCGCCGGGTCATCAGGCACGCTTACCAGTCGGCACAGAAAGGAGGGGACATTCACTCGGCGGGATAAGGTATGCCGCCAGGTCCCCTCCTCTCTCACGCATCTCTTGTGCAACTTATCAGAGGGGGTGACACCAAAATGACTGTCAATCATTTTGGTGTCACCCCGTCCGATGATATCACCTGGTGCGGGCCCGCACCCCCCTTGTGATGCTACTGGTTCTGTTTATATAAGTTTCATCAGTCCTCTGGGTGAGAGCTTACAAACTCCTACCAATCATTTTGCATTGTGCAACCTAATTTTAAAGCAGTGTTTACAGGAAACTGCCATTGAAGAGGATCAGGAGTGTAAATGTTTTCTTTATAAACGAAGAAGGACCTACATAATTAGAATACAGCTATCCTGGTGTGTGCATCACTACACTGTCTGCAGAGACTCCAGTAGGCAGAGTTGAAAATGACTAGCCTACAAAGTCCCAGGCACAGGATAAATGGTTACTACAAATGACACTGCTCCCAATTTTAGGGATTGCTTACAATAATTGGGTTGTTTCTTGCTTTTTAGGGGGCAACAATAAGCTTCTTTGGCAGTTATAGACACTCATTATCAAAAAAAGGAGATAAATTCTCTCTGCAAGTGTGCCTATCCTTCAATCTTCCAAATAGACGAAAGAACGGATACTGAAGCTGTCAGACAGAAATTACAGCCGGCTGCTGGCACTAGTGGTAGTGACATTGTAGGGAACACTATACATAAATCACTGAGATAAACCACTCAGGTTGATGCCCCAGCCGTAAACTAGGGATTAACCACTGTATAGCTATCCAGGGAATAAATATATATCATTTTAAAGGTAGCAGTGCTGTATGGTTATACTGTGTAAATCACTTTGGGTAACTTTTGTTTATTATATATAATTCATGTTTGAAAATGGTTACAGTTTTTTTTATGGAAGGGTTTTTGACCCAATGGACCTATCGGTAACTTTACAAATCTGCATGAATAATTTCCACACATGGTACAAAATACAGTTTTTCCAACTAAACAATATATCTGATGCTACATCCATATTAGGGCCCTACATAGGAGCAGTTCATGCCTAGAGTAATGTGCGTGTCAAGAAAAATGCAAAAGGTGCATCAAAATGCAGGTTAAAAAAAATCCACCTATATAGTGAGGCAGACTACTTGAAAGAAGCTTGCTGGTTGTAAAAGAAAAATTGCAGTAATAAAAACGGGGAAATTACTTTATATGTCATGAAACATGGTGGGTTAATCTGGTGATTTAAATCTCTTGGGGATATTCTTGATATAATTTTTTGGCGATAAATCACATACAAACGTATATGGTTTGCTGAAAGTAATTAACTTATTTTGAATAACAGTGTAGATTAGGAATATGTCATTTGGCCAATTTAACCACATCATCGTGTATATCAGGAGATGAATCATTTGGCAGTAGAAGCTTAAGGCTGGATTCACATAACTGTGCTTGGGGTTTAATGCATGTCAATGTGCTGTATATGTGCATTGTGGTGCGCTGTCAATTATATTGAATGCACATATACAACATCAACAAATGTACCTGCCATGGAGCATAAAAATGTGAATGCACTGTGGGGGGAATTTATCAGAACTGCAGACAAAATCTGGAGCAGTTGCCCATAACAACCAATCAGCATCTTTCTTTTATTTTTAAAGCTAAACTGAAGAGAGCAGCTGATTGTTTGTTATACGCAACTACTCCAGATTCTGTTTGCCCAGTTTTGATAAATTCCCCTCTGTGTGTCTTTGTGCACGTTGTTGACAAAAAGAAGTGCAGATGCATTTTTATGTGTTTAGGCTCATTAAGGGCTCAGTCAAAGTGGGCTGCCGTAATTCAATACATGAACACGTGAAAAAATACGCTTTAAGTACACAGAAAAGTGTGAATAGAGCCTTAAGGTATCCTGGTAATATATGTGTTGTATAAAACAAAGTCTGCAGTTGTGTGTGGTGTTGTAGTCGGATTTCAATGTTATTTGTCTTGTGATAACAGTGATTGTATAATCAATTAATGATTCTTGGTATTATGGAAAAATGCTAAATGGAAAAGTTCATCCAGAGTAAAATCCTGTCCCTGACAAGGACATCATTACAAATGAAAAAAAGACTGCAGCGTCCGCAACCACAGACACCGCAGTCAGTGTTTGTTTTTACTCGGCACAACATGAAGCTAATGGTCTCTGCTTGTGCATATTCACCTATCAGCTCAATACACTCTTTCTGCCAAGTGACACATTGGAAACATGTACTGAGCATCCCCTGTTGATGCTAGCATGTATGGGGCTTTACTGACCCAACAGTGTGTGAACAGATGGATACCTTAGTATTCCTCTTGTGCCAATACAGAAACCAGGGAAAAAAAGACTATTATGTAGCTAGGTCATATATATATAGATATATATCTATATATCTATATATCTCTAGATATACAGATATAGAGATATATATCTATATCTCTATATAGATATAGATATACACTGAGTCCAATACACCTTATTTTTCCAAAATATATATATAGGTATTAGGAATCGTCTATACATCAGTGCCTGTAGAAGGCTCAGTCAGAGGCACAGGCAGCTCTCAATAAAACATACACCAATATTTTTGTTTGCTATAATTTCCGTTGTAAATCTCTTGGAGGTGAAGAAATGAATTGCCTGTCATTGAGGCTTACATGGCAGTATTTTCAAGTTAACGGCTTTCTGCACTGTGCCGGGGACGTATGAAGAATAGTAATAAAAAATACACTAAGATATATCTTGTTTTGAAGCGGACTGAACTTATCTGAAGATCTGTAATATACAGATAAATTGGCCTTTGTACTGCATTTCAGATGCTTTTCTTCCACTGTGTTTTATCAAGTTTGAGAATTGTGGTTCTTTTGCAGCTGCTACCTTTTATACATGAGTCAACTCTGCCTTCTAGTGGGTGCAAAGGGTATATTTTATGATAGGAGACACAATAAAGAAGTTAGCATGTACAGCAAAGCTACTGCTATTCCTGTCCACATATCTGAATTAACAAAATCTGAGAACAAGTTATTAACGCAACACTTCGCTCACTCACTTCAATCATATCAGGTAACTTTACACTGCTAGCACACTGAGCATATCTAAAATGTTTGATGACGTTTAATGGAAACCTTGCGGTAGCACAAGAGACAGCCAGACAACTAGTATTCTGGGAAAGGGGTTAGCAATGGCAACCCCTTATATCCAAAGACATTTCCTTATCGTTACACTATTAATGCTACATTGCAACATGTGCTTGAGACACCACACTGTGCACCCCCAACACCCCCCAGCACCATGCACCCATGACATGTAATACTAGTCCCATGACTGGCTCAGCAGGCTTAGGGAGATCTTTAGCTCAGCACCCTTTATTCTCCCCAGGCGCTATTTGACAGGAAGTTCTGCCCTTTTCCTCCAGTTCACTTGCCTCTGCTCTTTTTTTGATATCTTTCTGCAGTACCAGGTGCTGGACCTCAGTCCAATCCAATCTTGGCACCCGTTGACACTGCAGAGTTACAGAAGGAGAGGAGATTCCTCCACTGCCCTGTAGCCACAGAGAGACTGAAGGTCCTAAGCAGTGGCATAGTTTTGACCCCTTAACTTGACCCAGAGTATCAAAGGGCAAAATGAAAAATCAGAGGGAAATGAATGCACCATATATGCCTGCTTATTTCTTTCTGTACAGGTTTCCTACATGCTCACTTATTTTTTATACAAAAGGGTGTATGATCCTGTATGCAACTAACAGGTCTACCAAAAGGATTTTAAAAAATGACCCTGCATTCAATAATCCAAAATCTCTTTATTATATTAAAGCCTGTTGTTGCAGTTTAGTGGGACTGGTGTTGGGGAATGACAAAGAGAACATTTAGCCACAATTTAAACCACCTAATAGCACATTGAGTTGGGTAGTAATGCTTGTCTTTGGATCTTGACCAGTATTCCTGCTATCCATTGTTATGATTGTTGTTTTTTTTAAATCTTATTTTAGAGTCTCCAGTCTGACAAAGAAGCTTTACACGAAGGTAGAGGGAAGCCATCTAAATATCACAGAACACCAGATGGATACTTTCAAATAGGTGAGCAGCCGACTAGTTCCTCTGTAATATTAATGCAATGTGTGAGTGTAACAACCCAATTTGATGCATTGTGTGTAGTTCTCTTAACCCCTCACTCATTATAGTAAAACTAATATTGTGATTTTGAAACCTATTGAGAGCCAAATTTCGTTATTCTCGATTGAGGGACAGAGAAATGTTATGAATAGTTAAACGTTCGGGTTATACTGCTACCTACAGGAGGTTGGGTCACTAGAAAACAAAAAATGTTAAGCCAGCCTGCATAGAACCTCGCCTGCAACCATCATGCTAGTGTCCGGTAATGCTTAGTCAAAGCACCATCCCGCTGCTGCTTTTGTTTGCAAAGCACTTTGTGGATAATGCGATCTCTATCTAGTCTTGTTCCATTGCCTGCCTGACTTGCCACCTCACCTTTGACCCTGAAGACAGTCAGTCTGCAATGGGTGACCTCAGCCCATACTCCTCTACTGCTTCTAGGGACCATTTCTTAGTATTCCCAGAAGAAACAGACATCTGTAACCTCCCACGCCAATGAGAGGAGCAGGGATGTTGCTGGTGAAGTCTTCAATAGAATTTTTTTTTAAAGTTAATTAACCAGCATCCATCATTATTTGCAATAAATTGCACCTCATCGACAGTGCCTATAAAAAGTATTCACCCCTTGGACGTTTTTTGTTTTATAGTCTTTGAACATTGACTCACAGTGGATTCAATTTAATCTTTTTTATTACACCGATGAACAAAAATAGATGTCAATGTGATCTCTTCAAAGTGATTTAGGCACTGTATAACAGCTATCCGATTATTGTTCCAAACAGAGGCAAAGCTTTATTCAGCTTTACTAATTGAAAAGTGAACAAATTGTTACTTAACTTCATATAACAAAAATGATATATGCCAGCATTGATATTAGCTGCAAATGAAACCACATAAATCATGTTGCAACATTTCTCTCTATATTTAAATGTATTATGTGAATCCATTTATCTGACTTTCCCTCTGGTAGATTATTTAGTGATGTGTTAATCATGCTGGGTAATGAAGTAATGTTCAAATATAAATTAAGATATTCTTTAAAGATCTGTTTGTTAGTTTTATGAAAGGAAATAAAGAATGATGCTGTTCTAAAAAAAAACTTCTAGATTAGAAAGTTCTGTTTATTTGTTGTGTTCATATGAAACAAAATGTGTCAGGTTTCATGATTATGTAAATGAAGCTGTAACAACTTATAACATTAATTACACATCAGGGACCAGATTGTTATTATTTGTAGGCTTGGGGTTAACCCTTCTTGCATCTGGTTAGCTCTAACCAATATAACCTACTCTGTCTAGCTGCTTAATTTCTATCACTCTTGGACATCACATTGGTTGGTTGCTGTTCCCTGTAAGCAAATTAAAGGAGAACTATGAGATGAGTGATTTCCACTCACCTCATAGTTCTAGCCGACCTGTGACAATGAGACTGTCACAGGTCGGCTCAGTAGATCGGGAGGTGAGCGAACACATACCGGGTTCGCTCACCTCTCGATCCTGTCACGGCTCTCTGCCGTGACAGGGGGAGGGGCTGGATTCCCCTCTCCGATCTGCCAGCGCTGACTGGCGGAACGGACGGGGGAGGGGGCAGGTACGGGTACAGCTGGCTCTGCCTCTAGATAGGCAGAGCCAGATGTCACTCACGCAGCTGGGCGGATCTCGACGTCGAGGTCGGGATCCGCTCCGGCTGAGCTGTAGCTCGCGGTATTCTGAGCTTAGGGTAACGGGAGGACGCTAGTTTGTGTCCTCCCGTTACCCTAAGGAGAACTATCGGGAAAAGACCTGACCCCCATAGTTCTCCTTTAAGGCTGTCAACTTTCTATGTAAGAATTGTAGCCGCTGCCCCAGCTTTCTTTTAGAAAAAATGTTTTTTACCTTTAGATTTGTAGATCATGTCTGACTCAAACCCACCCTCCAGCACCACAAACAGGTTATGAGATAGGCAAAGGTGTGTGTGGGAGAGAAAATGCCTATTTAGGGTAAGTGATAGCATGAAAATGTGAATACTAAAGGAATTTACACCTACATTTTTTAACTATTTTGCAGGCTTATTTGGGTTGGAAAACATCTTTACTTAAAATAGGAACCTCTTCAATCTCAACTAACAATACTTTCATATACATTTTCTGTTAAGATCTGCTTATGTTAATTGTGTGTTACTTCTTCATTAGGATCATTTAACAAGGGCATAGCAGAAGGAGAAGTGGATCCTTCTTTTGGGCCACTTGAAGCACTGCGCCTTTCTATTCAGACGGATTCTCCTGTATGGGTTATTTTGAGTGAGGTATGTAGTATTTGAAGCTATCACACTCGAGCTCAGACATTTCCAATGCCACTGTTGGTTAGGCTTAATCAGAATAGTTTGGTTTCTTCCATTCATTTGCTATCCAATTCACTGTCAATGAGTCATGTGGATCAGGAAGTGAACAGCAATAGCAGGCATAACCTGATCGCAGACTTGACTTGTCAGAGGCATAGGAGTACAGCTGTGGGGCGAAAAGGTGGAAAGTGAGTGGCAAGGTTTATATCCACAAAATAAGAGGGACATCAATTTTGCCTTTGGAAATCAATCTTGTCTTCTCAAACTATATAGATGAACTAACTACTGATTTGATTTTTTTATTTTGCCGACAACTAAAAATGGAGACTTCCCTTTTCATAATGTATCAGAGGTGTTATGATTTACTGTAAAGAGGTTAAGTGCCTTAAAAAATAGCATGATTTTCTAAACCAGACCAGAGTTAAGTCCTTTAAATGAACAGTTTAGGTTTTTGATGCAACAGTTGTTGAAAAACCCAGATTTTAGGAGTAACTTTCTGGTTTCGGACAATTAATGATTAAGCTGCCGTGCTAATTAATCAATTTCTGTTGGATGCTTTAGATTTTTATATCCACCCATTATGGGATGTATCTTATGAATTATGCAAATATCTTTTTGTTTTATAAACTCGTGTAACTATTGTAAAATCGCAAAATGTACACGTGACATCATGTCCAATATGTATTGATGATTAAACTTAATTGACTAGTACACAGTTTCTGTTCCTGGGTCTGAGAAGGTCTGAATAGTTCTGCCAGGACAATATCTATAAGAATTTTGGATGGGGTGGGGGTATGTAAGGAGAACCCTGGAGATTAGAAAAAAAAAGTAGTCATTAGAGAATGAGATCAGATGGAACTGCTCTTTAGAATCTGGAATAGTGCAGACCAATGCTGGAAAATCACCTGGAAATGTTGCTTCATCATAGAGACTGTGGGAATCACTGGTGCATTAGGAAGACATGTAGAAAATTGAGGGGACCTTTTTTTTTTGTTCTCTGCACAGTGGCCCTCTGTGGTCTAAATGTAACATTATAAATGTAAGTTTGTACATTAAAAAGGCCTCCTGCAGCTTTGGGAAATTTAAAAGGAACCTGTCAGGATAGAAATATGGAAGCTGCCATTGTTTAATTGCTGTAAAAAATGCAGTCTCCGAGTCTATGATCCTTATTCTTGCTTCACTATTTATAGAAGTACTAACCTAGCTGGTAGTTTTGATTTCACTAGAAGCTTTAACGCTTTCGCTGAGACATTTCTACATTTTTGCCCACATTAAAATGCACATTTTAGGTAAGAAAATTGTTTATATATTTCCTGAAAGAAGAGATCACGGAGAATAAAATCACAGATTCTGCTTGATTAGCTTTTTCACCTCAGAAGTGACACAATTTTCATTGCCTCCAGGTTCATTCACCGGAGGGGAGATTAGAACTGAACTCCCTTCACTCTCCTCACTGACACATGCCATGGCTGCCCTGGGCCAGCAGGAGATACATGGCGGGGAGAGGGGGGGCAGTGCAGAAGTGATCCGGCGGCAATGAATTGGGTGGAATTACTTCTGTCTGAAAGCGAGCAGTCGGCTGAGGGAGTGTAAAAAAAATCCCAGCTGTTCACAGCGCCCTGCTGGCCTGGGCATATTACTTACATCTACTATAGCAGTGAAAGGGTAATTCTCCTCTGGCTTATATTTGGAAGCGACTTAAAGCTTGATAAAAGACTTGTATGTTTTTGCATATATCTTCTGCTAGCAAGCAGTAGATATATGCAACAACATAAAAAAAGTTTAAAAAGGGTTAAAACTTACCTGTGTCTCCGCCGCATGCTCCCGTCCGAAGATCTGAAGATTCTCCCCGGCGGCCGCAAAGGATCATGGGGCGGGTGCATGCGCAGTACAGTTCTTAGGCTGGTAGACGAGGAGAGATGCAAGGTAATTTAATGCAGAAGCCTGCACCCGCACAGACTTCGTGGGACAGGAAGAGAGAGGAGTGAGCGGTGGATCAGAGACCGGCACCAGCGCTGGAGAGACCCCTCAAAACTACTGGAAAGAAGAAGATGATCGGATCAAGAGGCATCACTTAAAGTAAGTCCTTACAGTAGTATGGGGGTGGAATTTGCCTTTAATGTCACTTTAAACAGAAATGTATAACTACTGGTGTATCTACCTTTGTGAGTTTAAAACTCATCTCCAGAACCACAGGATTACGCTATTACCCTTTAGTGAGCATCATGTAGCTTGCTTGGTCAAAATAATATTTTTATTGGCATGGTGGTCATGCATTATTTGGGCTTGATGCACTTCAAATCTATGTTGAAGATGTCCATGCAGTTTTTTTTGCACATAGATTTGCTTTATAGCTGTTGCATAATTCATCATTAATTCTCACAACAATAAAAGTTATAGGACTGACATCTTCAATAAGAGAAGATGTCAGTCCACAAGTGTAGTCCATTAGCATCTCCAGATTACATATTTTTGCTTCTATCTAATCCACCACCAACAATGAAAAGACTTAAAAACGTAGCAGATATTTATAGACCTCAGGTTACTAAGGGCCTTTAAACATGTAACCCGCTGTTGGTGCCCTGCTGCACTGGATGCTCCCAGCTCCCTCTGAGCTGTGTGTTCCTCTCCATGTCTCCTCTCCTCCCTGCTGTGTGTCTCTGATCAGACTGGACCTTCTTCCTCTTATTGATGCTTTTATGCTTGTACTATTCCTTTTGATGAAAATAGACTTCCTCTGAAGTAAAGACTTGAATTTTCTTTCATACGCTCTGGTCAGAGCAAAGGAAGCTAGAGAACACAAGCCAAGAAGTGACAAAGTGTGAATCTATTGTAATTTATTAAAGCCAAATTTAATACATAATAAAAGTTTGCAAAGTATTTCTTTGAGGAATATGTTATAAAATGCATGGGTGCAACTGTCTGAGACATTTTGCAGACTTTATGTATGGTTTCATATTGGTGATATTTTACATTTATAGACTAAGGGGCATATTTATAAAGCCGTGAATATGACAATTACCAAACATTTACTGCAGGTGAACCAATCACTGTAATTTAAGGCAATGAATGATTGTACCAGGAAGATGCACCTGCAATAAATTATTTGGTGAATGTCACATTTATTTGTGTATACTCTAATTGTGTGCACCGGTTTAGTTTGTGACACTGTGAATAGTCATAGCAGTACAGACCTCCAAAAGTGAGAGATGTTGAAATAACACTTTGAACCAAGTGGGGTTTTTTTGCAGATGTTAGTATTGGTCTTGTGCTCATTTTTATTGTTTCATTTAGTTTGACCTTTTAAGGTAGTTTTCTGAAGAGAAAAAAAAAACTTTTTATTGCTTTTCTGGTCATTTGTATAACATTTTATATAAGCTCAAAATGTTTGTTGTATTTTTAAAATATTTTTGTATGTTTTTTAAATGTAACTATTGTTCTTCCAGGCTGAGATATTGGCTGGGTTTTTTTCTTTTTTAGCTACAGGGAGATCTGGGAAATGACTGCCCAACTTCCAGGCTTACAGTGGCTTGCAAAAGTATGTTGTGTTTTGTGGCTTGCTTTTTTGCTATTTTGTTGCAATACCACCTGGAATTAAAATGGATTTTTGGGGGGTTTGTATCATTTGATTTACACAACATGTCTACCACTTTGAAGATGCAAAATATTTTTTATTGCGATACAAACAAGAAATAAGACAAATAAAAACAAACAGAAAACTTTGGCGTGCATAACTATTCACGCCCCAAACTCAATATTTTGTAGAGCAGGGGTCCTCAAACTACGGCCCGCGGGCCACATCCGGCCCGCTCCTGGCGGTGGGTTGTGGGCGATGAGATGCGGGTGAAGGG